AACCTCATGTGCATGTGAAAGTTGGACTGTTAATAAGGAAGATCATGGAAGAATTGATGCATTTGAGTTATGGTGTTGGAGGAGAATGTTAAAAGTACCATCGTCTGCCAAGAACAAATCTGTTACTGGAAGAAGTCCAACCAGAACGCTCCTTGGAAGCTAGGATGGCCAGATTTTGTCTCTTATACTTTGGACATATTGTCAGGAGGGACCAGTTCCTGGAGAAGGATATCTTGTTTGGTAAGGTGGAGGGGCGGAGAAAGAGGAAGACCCCTAATGAGATGGATTGGCACAGTGGCAGCAGCAATGGGCCCAGATGTAGCAGTAATTGTGAGGTTGGCCCAGGACCAAGCAGAGTTTTGTTCTGTTGTGCATTAGGTTCGCAATGAGTCAGTACCCACTGGATGGTACCTAACAACAACAAAACATACATTTACAGGATAAGCACTGGACTGCAAACCACAAGGTTGGAGGTTTCGGCCTACCAACTGCTCCATTGAAGAAAGATGAGTTTATCTCCTTCTGCTATTTATGGCCTCAGCAACCCTATAAAGGGTTGCTATGAGTTGGGACTGACTCAGCGACCCTTAACAGCAACATACTTTTGCCTATTCTAGATTATTTCATATCAGTGAGATCATACAATAGCTACCCATCCTTTTGTGACTGATTTATTTCACTAACCATATGGTTTTTGAGGTTTATCCATGTTGTAGCATGGATCAGGACTTTCTTTTTAGAGCTGACTAGTATTCAATTGTATGAATATATCACAACATCTATTCATCCATTGATGGGTAATTAGATTGTCTCCACCTCTTAGCTATTGTCAATAATGGTGTAGTGAACATTCGTGTTCATACGTCCATTTACAGTGCTACTTTCAGATCGCTTGGACAGATATCCAGGAGTGGAATTGCTGGGCCATATGGCAGTTCTGAAGGCATTCTTATCTACATTTACTGTTACACAGTGGAATTTAAATTTGATTAAGTTATATATCATCCCACCACTTGTCTATCAGTTTGTCATACTATGGTGGCTTGCATGTCACTGTGATGCTGGAATGTATGCCAGCAGTGTTTCAAATACTAGCAGAGTTACCCATGGTGGTATTTTCTGCAGAGCTTCCAGAAGACGAAAGACTAGGAAGAAGGACTTGGTAATTTACCCTAAAAAAATATTGGCCAGTGAAAACCTTATGAATAGCAATGGAACATTGCCTGATATAGTACCAGAAGATGAGATTGGAAGGTACTCAAAACACAACTGGAGAAGAGTTACCTCTTAAAAGTAAAGTTGCTCTTAATGACATGGATGGAGTAAAGTTTTTGGTAAAACTTTATGTGGTATGACTCAAAATGAGAAGAAAGAGCAGCAAATATCCTTTCGTAATTAGAATGTGGGATGTATGAAATAGGAATCTAACAAAATTGAAAGTTGTCAAAAATGAAATGGAATGCTTAAAGATCAATATTCGAGGTACTGGTAAACTGAAATGGACTTGTATTGGCCATTTTGAATAGGACAATCATATGGTTTACGGTGTCAGAAATGACAAATTCAAGAGGAATGGGGTCACTTTTATCGTCAAAAAGAACATCTCAAGCCATCAGGACTGACGGTGAGTGTTGGAAATGTAAAGGTAGACATTTTGTAATAAAAGGAGGGGAGTGGTTGATTTTGCAGTCCAGGAGCCAAGGACCCTGGGACCATTAAGGGAGAAGAGTGGAGTGTGGGACCCTATCTAGAGAAGCAGTGACACCAGAAATGGAGGCAGAGACGATGATGATGTGGAGAGATGGAGCAGCTGGGGACTCTGGACTCAGTGAGGGAGAGGATCTGTGTGTTGACTTGATGGCCAGGGAGCAGGTTTGTGGGGTGTACCCTTTGGTTGTTTGATGATGCATGGAGGGGATTGTAATCATTGCAATGAAATGAAATACGATAGGATGAATGTAAAGCTAATATTTCCCCATGTAAACTATCACATAATTCACAATAAAAACTAAAAAAAATATATATATATATATACACACACACACCTGTAAGGAAGACCAATTAATGTAACTTTTATTCAAACTTACACACCAATCATTAATGCCAAAAATGAAGAAATTTAAAATATTTACCAACTAAAGTAAGTTTTTATATTCGGTCTCATGGTTTAGCTAGTTAAATGTTTGAATGCTGCTTACACTGAAGCCTGATTGTAAAACGTTGTTAAGTGCCGAGGAGCCACTTCCAACTCATAGTGACCCTGTATAGGGCCTCTGAGGAGCAGCTGTTGAGTTTGAACTACTGACTTTGTGGTCAAACTGACCTTGCAGTAATACAGTGCTTATCCTACAGCGCCACAAAACTAGGCACATTCCCTCCCTCCCCCAAGGTCAGAAACTCTTCAAACAACCTTGCACAAGGAAATTATCAGTCTCTTTTCCAGATGTCCACATTTCTTTAATCTGTTCTCTTCACTATAAATGTAGGTTTTAAACTGTTCAAAAAATAAAACTGAATCACTTCAGAAAGTCCATCTAGACCTTATCCAGATATGTTGACTCTGTCTAGAGACAACTTTAAGATAAGGAGGGTACTAGGCTTTTTCTTTTTTATTTAACTTTTTATTGCGATTTGGGTAACAGTGTTACTATGCTATTCCATTTGCCTGCTTGCACTGTGCAGTTTGGATCTTTGAGGCCTGGACTGTCACACCATGGAATTCATCCTGAGTAGCTTCATTAGAATTTTTACTCTTAGGTACTTAATTTCACATTCATTCATTTAAAAAACAAAACACACACACACAAAACCCCAAAGAAAGCCCAATAGTAAGAAAACGCCAAGCAAGCAGCATGAAATGTGGGGAAATTTTTTAAAAAGCTTTTAACTGTCTTGGTAGATACTGGTTTGGGGGTTCTCTTACAAATCTTGTCAATTAACCCAAGGCCAAACACTGGGGATTCGATACTGTGTAGGAATGTGAAACCAAGTCCACTACCTTTGACTGCAAAACGGGGTTCAGTCAAGCACACTATCTTTAATCATATGCACCCATTTCCTCTCCTTATATTACCTTGGGCAACCCATTATGTTTTTGCCTTTTTTCTAGCATTACATTATCTTTAAGGCATTGCCTAAATCGAATGTATTCCTTTATTAAGCAAGTCTATTGGGAATGAGTGCAGTGAAATACCCGAAAATGTCCTCAAGTCCCAGGTGGATTCAGAAAAAGACTTCAAGGCTCTTAGGAAGAGTGCTTACTACCTGGTAGGGGCGTGTGGACACGTGGTGAGCAAAAAACGAATTTGCGTCTGGTCCTAAAAGAGCGTTCCACTGCTGTGATTTTTGTTTTCTCATTATCAAAGTATTATGTGTTCACTGTAAAATAAATAAAGGGGAATGGATACAGAGAAAATGGAAATAACTTGGCATAAATGCGATTTTGGATGCGAACCATTCCTTTCGGGAACGCGATGGAAGACAGTAAGGAGGCACTGGGTCTGTGGCCCGGAAACCCGGTGGCAGGGTATCCCCAGTCTGGTGGATTCAACTCGGGTACTGTCGCCCCGTTGCCCAGGGTGCAGAGCCATTCCTACGGGCGCTTCCATTCAGCCACCTGTACGGTGACTTGGCGCCTTCCCCGAAGTAGCTCCTTAGCTCCGTCACTCCCGGTTCCCACCGGTTCCTACGCACAGACCCAACCCAGGCACCTTCTCCCGTAAGTATCCACCGACTGAAAATAGATTCCGAGTCCGCCCTCTACTCTTCCCCCCCACCCCGCCTTAAAAATCCTCCCCTTTAAAGGGAGCCACCGGGTGACGCCGGGGGAGTTTGCGGAAGCACCCAGCGCTTTAGGACCCTGGGCGGGTCCCGTGATTGCAATTAGCCCCGCCCCCCGGCTCATCTTCCCCCCATTGTGTGAGCCGCTTGGGCCTAGGCCCCGCCCATCACCTCCTCCCTCCCGGGATCCGCCCCGCCCCCTTTTTCACCCCCCCCCGCCCCTTGGCTCATTTCCGGCCCGCCGCTGCTACCGCTAGCCTGTAAGGAGGAATCGGCAGAGGGAAGAAACAACAGCCGCCATCTTGTTTGTGTGCTAGGCTCGGGGGGAGAGAGGGCGAGAGGGAGCGGGCGAGAGTGGGCAAGCGGGACGCCGGGCTGAGTGCGAGCTGCGGGAGCGAGAGAGTATTGAGGGGAGCCGGGTCAGAGAGAGGCGGCCGGGCCGAGACAGTGGCAAGGGGCCCGGGGCGCACGGGCTGAGGCGACCCTCAGCCCCCTCCCGCCCGCACACACCCCCACCGCGGCCGGGAGCCGGACCGGCGTCGACGCCTAGGGGGGACCATTACATAACCCCGCGCCCCGCGGCGCCTTGCCCGCCGCCTAGGGCGGCCCGAGTGGAGCCTCGGGGGGCGGGCGCTCCCGGCCCCTGGCTGCTGGGGGTGGGGGCCGTCGCGGCGGCCGTATTTATTTATTTTCCGCGAGAGGGGAGGGAGAAGGAGGCGAGCGCCGCGCGGGGAGAGGCCGCCTGCACCGCCCTCTAGAGCGGGCCTCGGTGGGCTCGGCGTCGGCGCGGGCGCCGCGGCTCGGCCCGGCCCCCTCG